AAAAAATATTAATGCATTGAACGAACCAGGAACGAGAAATTTGGGATGCGCTTTTGAGAAAGCGGAAACTGAGAAAAAACGAAAAACATTTTTTGATTTTTCAAGAAACAGCTGGTTTTTCGAATAGGGGTTGACGGAAATGTTGAAAATTTTTTGGGAAAAATGAAGTATCGAGAAAAAACAAATTATCGTTTATGAAAGAGCAGATGACGGACTATCTTCCCATGTATTTATCTCAGCTTTGACCATTCCAGCGAAAACTGACATTTTATGAGGGGGGGGGGGCCTTAAGACTTGTCTGTATGCAAAGTATTAAGTCAAAAATTAGTTTTTCTTACGTTCCTGAGAGTGACCACGGCACTGAATCAAAAAAACAATAACATATCATTAAAATGAAATATCTTGGCAGCAATAAGCTCAAGGAGTCCGAACTCCTTTCCCAGTATTCATAGCTTATTAGGATGTACATGATACACATAGTCCCAACTTAAAAGCGGTTAATCAGTTGAGAGAGGCTTCCTCATTAAAGGAAAACAAGTTCAATAAAATATTTTTCTTTTCCTTCAAGATACTCCACGTTCGTATCATTTGCTTCATTTTCTCAGTTGGATAGCAGCATTAACTGGCATGTTTTTTATATTGGCTGGCCATCAACATTATTCTATTGATATTCTTATTGCTTGGGTGCTTAGTTCTCGTCTATTTATTTATTATCATACGTAAGATATTAAGAAAAAAAATGTATTAGTATATATAACATCGTGTTCTTTTATTTAGTCTTGCTAACAATCGAACATTTTTACAACGAGATACAGAACGAATGCGTATCTGGTTTCCATTGTTTTCCTATTTTGAAGAGAATGTCAAAACAGCAATACCTAACGAATATTGTCTACCTGGTTTCATCTATGAAGCACGTGCAATGATAAATAATTGGATGGAATCAATAAAATACTCAGCTTATTGGGTCATTCTATTTTTATTTATCATTATCACTTACAGTTTTTCGTTCACAAAAAAGACGGGTTTTTCTTCCTTAATTGAACGATAAATAATCGCAAAGATCATCTTTTTTTTTTCATACTTGATATACATTTGAAATGTAATGCGTTTTTCTCTTATTTGAATGTCTTTATTATTCTTTTTTGCTTGTATAAGTACTTTGGATATTTATGTCAGATGCGAATTTTGACTTCTATATATCGTCTATTTTTCTATTACATCTGAACTTGTCTGCTTCTTTTTTTTGGTCATACTATTGAAAATAATAGAAAGATAAAGAAATTCTATGCTGATCTTTTCTTTTCAGAAATATAGTTAGGAATGCAGCTCATGTATCATAAAATTGTGATCTATGTCGGTAGCACAAGATTAGTAATCAATTACCAACTGAATCATCTATCAATACGAATGTTTTACTAAATGAAAATTATTTTGAAACTAATAATGAAACAGATCAATATTAAAAAGAAATTTTTAGTTTCTCAGATATCGAATATTTATATATGAATGAATGAATGAATAACAAACATATCTTTCGATAGCATTGCATAGTTTTAATGATGAAACTAAATCAACGACAACCTTTGAGTCTTTTTTTTTATTGTATTTGATGTGTTTGGTTGTATAGAAGAATATTTTCATATAAGTAGCCCATCATCAGAAAAGCAATCGAGTGGATATGGATGTAGGTGTAGTTCATTTCTTCATCCACATCCTTATGTCTTCGTACATTTCAATCATTAAAATATCATGATATGGGTGTGAATTTATTATGAAAATATATTTTACATCGATCTGTTAATTGTAATGCAATAATTCGTTATGCTCAACTAATTAAATTAATCTTTAATCCGTTGAATATTCACGATATGTTTGCATGATTAATTCAACTTGTAATGATTTCGTGGAAGAAGTTAAATAATGATTAGTAATAAATTCTATGATATAGAAAAAGAAGAGACATGGATAGCAATACGTGTAAAGCTATCGCATACGTTCCGAATAACTCGAGAGTAAATAGCAGCATTGCTATGATATTTTTCTACCATGATTATATATGTTTTTTTTTTGTCAACATATTATGCGAAACTTAAAGTTGCCGGTATTAATTTGATTAACAACGACGACTGATGAAATTCACTTAGATAAACTTCGAAACATTATTGGTTATGGAAAACTCTTTGATAATATTGATACTTGCAATAAGCATCTTGAACAAAAATTAGATAATGATTAAATTTATATCATTATTGATATTCTATATACGGGGGGTCCCAAAATGATAGCACCCCCCTTTATTTTTGAAAATCTTCAGCAAAGATGAATAGCTAGATCAAATCTAAATAGTGATTTAGATAGCCTTTGAAATTCCCTATCGAACATTGTATAGACTAAAATTTGAAAAGAAACTTTATGAAGAGAATTGTCTCGAAGAACCATGTCACTGTAAATTCAAGTTGAATTAATCATGCAAACATATCGTGAATATTCA